AAAACTTAAAAGCAGCAGAATTTACTGAAGTACTGAAGTGCACTATAAATATATATTTATTTTCGATAAATAAAATCGGTAAGTGGTCGTTAACTTAATTATCGGAGTTGATATGAACGGGAGGGAACTCGGCTAATACCCGGGAGGGAATTTGACTATCTGTATTTTAACCAAAACTATCTGCGGGAGGGAATTCGGCATCACCGGATTCATCCTATAAAAACGCCATTTATTTCATAGACTTGTTCATGTCACGTGGCACATAATGCACTATTGCAAGAACCTTATGCTTTTAGGTAGAAAGATAGTAACTACAACTTCACATGGTATTCATTATTTGGTCCTCCTTAACATTTGCTGAATCTCTTCGAGTGTTTTTCCTTTAGTTTCGGGTACACACGTGTACGAAAATATCAAAATAACTACACAACAGAGTCCGAAAAAGGTAAATGGCGCAAACAGTCCAAAATTATTAGCTAGAGTTTGGAAAACTTTTGTCGATGTCAAAAACGATGCGGCGAAAAATATACACACGACGTTGATAGCTTTTCCTTTGACACTTGCGGAGAACAGTTCTCCCAGCATCAGAATTGGGACGAGTCCCAGACCGCTTCCGGCAAATAGTAGCCATATTACCATACCGAGTAGCGGTATCCATCTCACGCTGGAAACATCGACTAGTTCATTGTCTGCCACGTAACAAAACGCGGCGAGAACTAGTAATGTCAAGCCGCAACCAATAGACGATAACATCATGGAAAGCCTTCTTCCATATCGATCCATTAAAAACATGTTTGAAGACATTATCAACAGTAAAGCTCCAGTATAAATAATAGACGATGTGCTTTTTGAGAAAACGCTTCCGCTTTGCTCGAACATGTATTGGGTGTAGACTCCAAAAGCAGGCATACCGGAAAATTGCTGGGCAGCTCTCAGACCACATCCTACTATGAGTGCCCTTCTATTCACAGATTTCACAAATAAATCTCTTAGAGTACCTTTCTCAGATATTTGACGTTTAACGTCACTCTCTAGTTTTATGAATTCTTCATCTACGTCTTTCTTCCACCTGAAAAATATTTTATACATCGTGAACATGAAAATAAATTCTTGATGGTATTCAATACAGGCGATCCCGGAAGTGCTACATAACCTTTTAATTGCATATGGAAAACTTGCGGGTCATTCAGATAATTGAATAAGTATTTATCAAAAGTCCCACGTTTTCAAGCAACTTGCAATTTCTGAGATTGGAAATTAGAATTTTTGACAGTGGCGGGTTGGGATTTATCAATGTTGAGGGAGAAGGGTGGGGGTTTGGGTCAAAATAGAAAATGTTAAAAATCCCCGTTTGCTTATCTGCCAGTATGACTTATCTTCGAACCGATTTTGATAACACTTCATGGGACGCCTTGTATATCAAATAACTTTTTGAAGTGAAACTTCTTCAAACACACAAACATACCGGGATAGGGGTTAAGGAATTGGTTTAATGGTATTATTTGTAGGTACACTATGAATTTAAATTTTACACTATACATGCCGGAGTTGCCTGTAACGAACATTGCATTGAAGCGCGCTCACGGCTCAAGCGATCCCCCTTACGAGACATCCGTTGCATGATTCTGTTACATAGCAACTCGCATGAGACGAACTTACCCTACCGTGCGTAAAGAAGTTTCACTTCAAAAAAGTGGTCGAAATGTAATGCAGGTCGGCGAACAGGCAGATTCACCCCTTAAAGTGTATAAGAATAATCTTATATACGAAAATATCATAAAGGTATATCCCTAGGTATCTACCTAATTATAGACAAATTGACATTGTGGCGCAACTATACCATAACCTTATTGGAGATTACATAATTTCATTTAGCCGCGGGGCGCAAATCGCCTATGCTCTTTAAAATAAACCAGAATTTGAAAAACTCTTTATATAGTAAAATTTACATTACAAACAGTTGCACATAAAATTTTCAAAAATTTCGAACTGGTCGTTTGGAAAGAAGTTTATTCCCTTTTCTATTAGTTTCTATTTATTTGTTAACATCAATTTTCCATTGTGGTTTTTTATTACATTTAGATAGTTGAGCCCGTCCAAATTTGAATGGAGGCTATCGTTGTCGGTGATTCACACATCATTTATAAGTAAATCACTATTTTTGCAATTGCTTAGTTACACATGGAATACGTGAAACTTCTGGATTTTTAATTAAGAAATTCAATTAAATGATCCGTAGAATAAGTAAAAAAGATAAATATATCGATATACTGGATCAAATGATATATTGAATCAGTATAACAACATATAAAATTGAAACCATCAATATAAATAACCACACATTTGGCTTTTATATTTAGTTGGAATGTGTCGATTTTAAAACAGAATAAAACTTATACTTTGCATAGTGCACTTTTTAATCCATAATGATGCGATATATATCTTGGCAATGAAAAATATTCCATTTAGTTAATTTGACGTTTTAATAACTGGCGAATATTCAATTTATATTTCGATTCCCACGCTACTATTCGCACAACCCTACTTCACGAAAAATGAATAATTATCAGTTTCTTTATTGAAAATACGAATTTCGTCAAACGTTGGTATATAATGGAAATGAGGTACATTCCATTAAATTTCTAAGTAACTAGCCAGTTTTTTTTTAATTAAATCACCGAGGAACACAATAGAAAACGTGTAAATGCTTTTACTTAACGACGATTAATGAAATCCCTAGGTAGGTATTTAATTAAAAACTGGATTTTATCATTTCCTTATAACGTATTTATTTAGGAGACATATCATTGTAAAAAAGATTTTTATAAAATGTTTAACCATCATTAACGGTTAGTGTAATTGTAAGTGTATTTTCGGTAGCGGAATAAATCACAAAAGGTATTTAAAATTGATTAGTAATGAGCAAAATTGGTCTTGGTCTTCCAGTCTTGGCCTTGGTCGACCATTACCAAGACTACAATTTCGCATCGAACAGTATCATTTAATATGGTCATCCCATTTGCAAAGAAAAAGTTATTTGTCTTGTACGATTGTCAAAAGTAGGTTTCAATATTTCCGATTCTGTACACATTTTACTCATAGCAAAAAAAATACCGTAATTCCTGCTAAAACGAACCGTCGAAACTGCAGGTTTTTAGCTTTATAGTTTAGGTCGGTGGTATCTAACCTATTTGTACCTGTGGGCCCCTTTAAAAAAAAATTGTTGCGCCCCCTTAATGTATCCACTCGTGCATTTTGTTTTGT